TTTTTTTTCCAGTTCAGCTATTTTTCTGTCTCTGTCAGTTAATGCAATTTTCAGCTGCTTTACCTCCTCAACCAAACCAGACAGAAGTTCTTGTTGTGAAGCTAATCTTGTCAATTCGGCACTCATAAAGTTAAGTGACTTTTTTATCTCCTCCATGCTGTCTGAGATGTTTTCTGTGGAGTCTGACCTTCCTTGTCCAGCACGTTTCGGCGGCATGGTTCACTGACAGCTGACAGCTTGCTGTTGCTGCTCCAAGATCCAATGACAAAAAGCCAGCAGACTCCCTCGCTAAACAGCCGCTATCCTCCACCACCAGCTGATAGCCTCCTTTGTTCCACCACCGTGTTTTACTCACTCCGATGTCGGGCCCTCCTCTCGCCACCACGGGCTTGATTGCCACGTTGCGGGGCCTTCGCTCTCTCCGACTCCGGACCCTCCACTCACCGCCGCGGGCTTGACTGCCACGTTGCGGGGCCTTCGCTCTCTCCGACTCCGGACCCTCCACTCACCGCCGCGGGCTTGATTGCCACGTTGCGCTTGAAATAGTTCCGTTAAACTAGTTTTTATGAAATTCAGTATTAACTATTTACAGTATTTTTCTTGTATACATGGATCTGGTCTTTTCATTTGTCCTGATGTGTAGAAATAATAATAAATAGTCAATCTCTCAACATATTTTTTAGTTTTATAATGTCATCTCCCCTAGTTATAAAGGTTCCTGAAAAGGCCCATGGACCACCAGTTGATGATCACAGTTGTAGCTTGTTTTGTGGCTCTGAATGCATTTTATTAGTGAGACAAGGAGCAGAAATGGCTCTTTTGATCCTAAAGGTTGCARACCCCTGACTTAAACTGTTAAACAATGGACCAAATCACCGTTGGGCTTATTAAAGGAAAGGGGGACATCATGTTTGAAAGCAGAGCGTGGAAGTGGAAGTGATTTATTGAGGAGACGATCTCCATTTTCCTAAAACCAGTGGAAGTTTGGACCCATTAGAGTCTTGTGGGTAGTGTGCAGGTGCAGGTTTCACACTGATGCAGGTGTGTCCAAAAACTTCCATTCTAAGGCATGGATTCAAAAAGTTTTGTTGTCCAAATACAGTATAGGCTCACTATCTACAAATCGATGAAATGCAACAGAAATATCACGGTTTCCTTTAAAAAACATGGTCCTAGTCTTACTACTGACAATTATTTGCATTTGAGAAGTGTAGTTTAAAAAAAAACAAACAAAAAACAAGATAATGCTATGTAACAACAAATTCAAAGTATTCCAACTCAATTCCCCAAATGACAGACTGTCTTTCAGTGAACAAGTTTATTTTTCCAGCTTTTTCAGTCCTTTTAAATGCCAACTCAGATTGCACACCAGGTCAAAAGCACTGACTTGATTGAGCCTTGGTTATTTTGCGGTCTAATATCCCCTTTTTTCAACTCTCGTCCACAAATACCGATGCACAAACTCAGCCTTTAGTCTTGCATCTTCCCATTCCGCCACAGAGAAAAAAGTGCGAGCCACGTTTGTCATTAAAGTTTATTGAAGTAACAACCATGCTGACCTAACACATTGACAATCACATCACAAACCCAGAACAAGTCCAACAGGGCTGTCATCAAAGCCTGATGGTTAAAGTGAGGTWAAAAAAAAAAAAACAACTTTACTATTTGTATTATTGTTCAGTATCCCCTCAGCTTCCAAAATTACCTCTTGATCTACGAGTGGACTGAAACAAAACAGAATAAGGATGAGCTGAAAATATTTCCACTTTGTTTGTTCTATCAGGCTGAGATGAATACGCTCACATGTCCCCATGATTCTGGTGTTCAAGAGTCTTGTATTTTGTCCTGTTATTAGCTCAGCAGTCTGGAAGCCATTCAAACTCAAACACAAGTGGTAATCATTTTAACTGTTGATGCAAATAGCCATTGTGCGTTYTTCTGAAGTGCATTTGAAAAGCTSCCGTCGTTCTAGCCGTCACTCCGGATGACGTGGAACAGCGTGACGTTGTAGAGCACCTGGTGGCCATTGTTCCATGTGTACAGTGCTCTTTCTCTGGGGTTGTAGTCCATCATGCTGATGTGGGAGTACTGATTGTGGAAGGGGATGTCAGTGTACTCGTATGACGAGGTGTTGGTGTGGTAGGCGAAATGGACCTTGGCGCCGGCTAGGTGGGAGTTGGTGACGTAAAGGGTGCCGCAGATCATGAAGGCCTCCCCGGCGCTGCGTTTTGGAAATCCAGTGTCCCAGCTCCGGAGAATTTCCAGCGATCGAGGGTCCAGACGACTCACCTAAAGAGAAAGGAGATCGTTTCAAATAGATCGGCTAAAATATAAAGTTATGGTGATTATGTTTGTTTGTATTTAGGAAGGATAGACCTTATAGGTCACATTTGATTTAACTGATTTCTGTGGCAAAGCAATGATAAATTATTGTAATAACTGTTGTAGATACAATAGCTCTTTGAATGACAGGAGAAATAATATTTACTTCTCGCACAACAGATGAACGCAAGGCCAGTCTGATCAGCACCAACGTGGATTTCTGATGTCCTAAACTGCATGTGTGTGTTGTTTTTCTTTTTAGCTTTTTTTATCACTATGATGAATGCTTTTATGATGTTGTGTGTTTTTATGGGATGCATCTGACAGATTATTTAAATCAATTTCCATTTTATATACAATAAAATTTCTATCTATCTATCTATCTATCTATCTATCTATCTATCTATCTATCTATCTATCTATCTATCTATCTATCTATCTATCTATCTATCTATCTNCTATCTATCTATCTATCTATCTATCTATCTATCTATCTATCTATCTATCTATCTATCTATCTATCTATCTATCTATCTATCTATCTATCTATCTATCTTTGTGTCAAACTTAAGGCCCACATGCCAAATCTGTCACTTGTTGACATTTTATCCAGCCCCAAAGATAATATTTTAAATTTGAAATAGATTTATACTTTCTTTTTTTGTCTCTGTATTTAGTGCATTCTTCTCATGACAGCTGGCCAACTTCAAGCCAAGAAATTTAAGTTAGAATGTTTCGATAATCATTGAATTTGCTGTGGAAAAAGCAACAGACAATCAACTTTAATTATCTTTTCTTATTTTAAAGTCAAATAATTGGATTTTACCAGTTTTGCTGAATTGTAACAATGTATCTCTAAGAAATAATAAATGAAAAAGTTGTTGACGGAGCAAGGTATTCTTTATCTGTTAGGTTTTGTATGTTCTAAATGTTAAATGAAACATCATTTTGAAGAAAAAAAAGTATTTCTATAAGAAAAAAAATTATTATACAACATTTCTTCAATAAATATTGACAGACATTAGCCCTTGGCTTGGACCAAGTTTTGATTTTTGGCCACCTTGTGTCACTGAGTGTGACACCCCAGTCTTAAACCAATCCTTATCTCAAAAGTTTAATAGCAGTTCATGATAACATTACATTGTAATTTTTTTCACTCACATTTACACACATTTATTTACAATGAAATTCCATGGTTATTTTTTATTTGGTTATGTTCTAATGTCTGACATAAAAGGTACCGCCTCTAGGGATGTGACCAGGAAGTCAGATGTGTTAAGAGGTTGATTCATCATTATTTATTAATGCGTTCTCTCCCTTAGACCAGCCTGGGACAGACTGGGCTCTTCAGAGGGATTGTTATTGTTTTTGTTCTGAGAAGAACCAAGGCCCTTTTGACTCACAGAAGCCTGCTGCTGGCTGCTGTGAGCCTGATTGGAGACAGATGAGAATAAAGCCTTTTGGAAGAGAACTGGTTTTCTGCTATTTTATTTAGACTTCCAATTTATTGATCGCAATTTACACTTACAGTACAATCATAATATTTCTGCAGCAGGAAGTGCATCAAGTGAAAATGGCAAGCACTATAAAATCAGCTGCACTGCACACTTAAAATGTTAAAACTGGGAAATGCCAAGAACTACTGATAAAGTTTAAAAGTAATTTGTGTTTGCATAATGTATTTTATGTGCTTTTAGACCAACGGTATGATAGTGAACAAGTCGCACCATTATGTTTCCTGCGTTTGGGATGGAGGTGTAGACGGCCCACAGTCCAGTCTCATCAGCCATCAGGTCGATGTCAGAGGAACCCCCCCAGCTGTAGGGGAAAGTGTTGTTGTATCCAGCTCCACTCAGGCTGCGCTGCAGCAACACGCTGCGAGAGCGGAAATGGTACTGGATCTAAACCAAAACAAAAAACAACATATTTTACCAACAAGTCACCAAATTAATGAGTCTTTTTCAAACATGTACTGCCATTTTTTAAAAAWWTTTTTTAACCAACTGGACGTGCCAGCTTCATGCTTAAATGGACAGGCTTAAAGTATTTTCCAGAAAGGTGAGATTAGACTTAAGCAAAATCCCACTGAGCTGCAACTGCTGGCAACAAACAGTGAGTGGTGTTAACGAGAGCGTGTCCAAAGTATTTCAAAACTTTTGCGGGTGTTCTCAGTTTCTTGTTGCTTGAATTGTAAGAAAGTTACAAAAAAAATGTGTGCAACAAGTTTTCTTCAAGTCTGGTCAGTGAGTCACTGCAGGCATTTCAAAACCTTCTCAATTCAATTCTTTAGAGGGATAGAGCTGGGTGTTTTTAGTGGGTGGGCTTTGTAAACTTTTAGGAAATGAGTATTTACTTTTAGAGTTGCACATTATGTAGTGTTTGCACTTGTAAAATAAAAAGTGCATAAAGGCAATTGAAAAAACCCCTCCTGTGATCGTTCTTTGTTGCAGAAATTCCCTTCAGTTTCACAAGACATTACCTTCTTGAGCTCTTTTTAAGAGATTTGTGTTAACATTTGACAGGTGTGCTGTCCCCAAACTCCCAAACTGCCACTGTCTGCAGAGCAGGTCACGCTGACATGGGCTGGACACTGAATACCAGTTGGGACTGGCCTTCCTGCCTCACTGGACAAGTGAAAAAATAAACTAACAGAAATAGTGTCATTTTACTGTGGCTGGCGGAGCAATAACAGGTCTGTGATGCCCTCAGATAACCAGCGGTGCATCGCCACCACAATAAGTAAAGACGTGTGGTGAAGCAGATGCTGTTTGCAGAGAAAACTCTCTTTATAAACGCTGTACCCTGTAGGAAAACATTCATTATTTCAGGAACCTAACGCCTTTACATATCATTTTTCATATGAACACCCACCGAAGCAGTGGCTACATGCAATAATACGTTTTTACGAGAACTTCTACGACTCAGTTTGACAGACTGAGCTGCTAAATTAATAAATAAAAAACAGCAATGTCCAACGTTTTTCTTCTGTTTTCTGTAAATTTTTTATAGTCCATGAACCAAATTAATGAGGAAAAACTGATGAATATTGACAGCAGAGTTTATAGTTCTGCTGCTGAAATAACTTCCCACAAACAGAAATAACAGCATTTCCAACACAAAGTCAAATATTACTTTAAAAAACATTTTATATTGAAACTATACTATAAACACAAGTAAACGCAGAGAAATGAAAAGGTGGAAGCAGTTCAGATTAAAACATTGAGTACCAGGATGTTGCTTTGGTGCTTGTTGTAATAGAGGGACCCATTGTAGACCACATGACCGGTTCCTGCCCAAGGGTGGGGCAACAGATGCTGGACAAAGTTCTGGCCCTTTGTGAAGTCCCCCATGGTCCGGTACTCCAGCACCCGCCTGCCTTTATAGTAGCCATCCATCGACCAAACCTGATGGGAGGGGGCACAGAAACAAAATAATAATAATAATAATAAAAACAAACAAAAAACACAGATTATGACATATTTGTTTTAATTAGAACTTGATTGATTTTATATTTCTAGTTCTCCTTTTTTAAAGCCCTATCTCTGATTTTCATCACAGTGCCCATTTTGAACTCACAGCATTTCTAACAATCACCCTTTCTGTAAATCTTTCTTGTAAGAACCCTTTTTTCTTCCTGCTTTTTAAATTTTACTTTCTTGCCAATAAAGTTCTGAGTAATTCAACACCAGTCTTCTGTTTAGTTCCGCATTTAAGCTCTGTTCAAATCACAACACACTGCAACACAGATGGCTCATTTTTGATCTTACCTCTTCCTCCAGCCTGTAAAATTGACTGCCACTGAGCGATTAAACTGGTTTAATTTGTAGAGCGATCCATCATAGTCGCTATGCCGCTCACTAGCAGCCCGATTAGACAATCCCACGATGTAGACAAAGCCCTGTCTCTGATGGCCGCTGCACAACTAACGATAAGTAAATTAAACCAAGGGCAAACGAAAGCAATATCACAACCAATTGCTATTCAACTCGCTGGATCAGGGAACATACCTCAAAAGTCGACAAGCGTGTCTAATACGGATCTCCTTAGCGTGCAGAGCCTTAGATATGAGGCTGCTGTGAAAAAAGATTCTCAGTCGTAAAGATAAGAAGATTTACTAAATTGGTTTTTTTGGAATCAAAAAACAGCAAATGTCTGCCTTCAAAACAAAAAAGAAAAAAAAATAACAGTTGCATTTTTATGTTTTACAGTTCATGTTAGTGAAGAATATCCAAGATTTCTTTGTTAGTCACTTTCAAGACAACAAATTATTACGAATACTTTGGCATTAATTGGAGTCAACCCTGTTTGTTAGCAAATTATGAATCATTGGACACATTTTAATGAAAGTTTTAGAAAGTTATCAATGTGTGAATGTTTACGACTGATTAGTCAATAAAGTCAACGTGTTGTATTGACACCACTGCTAAGTGGAGTCAGTTTTGTAGATACTGAGCTTAGACAGTAGCTGAGGGTGATCAACACATTGAGTTTTATTAAATAAAATCTTTGTGTGTTATGGCATACATGTACTTTTTTCAGGAATGCTTTCATTTTCTTAAAAATGTGCAGATATAAAAAGTCTACAACATGAAATTAATAATTGCAAAGACAGGTTTTTTTTGTTTATCCATGGTGGAAAGTTGTCATGTATTTTCCTTCATGTTCTGCATAACGTAATGACAATCCTTCGCTTTTATTCCCACACTGCTCAGAGATACAGAAGATAAGACAAAATGGCAAAAATAAAATAAAATAAAATACTGATGCTACCAGCAGTGACAGCTTCTAACTGTATTTGCTTTTCTATGCAAGTTTCTAACTTTTGTTGCAGGACTTTGCAACAAATTCTGATTTATCTCAGTCACTAAGTTCACTTTCTCCAACATCTTTAATTCGGTTGACCCAGTTTTAGGTTACAGCCTGATGAAAAGTAAAAAAAAAGAAGAATTATCTGAATGTGATGAAAAGAGGGATAAATATGTGACAGAAGAGGGGGCAGTGCGAGCGTGAGGCAGATCAGTGGAGAAACAATCGGACGGAGAACGGGATGAGTGTGAAGAAGAGGCGAAATGGAGAGAAAATTGACAGTGGACAGCATGGAGCATTAATTACCCAGAGAGGAGCTGGAGGTGAAACAGATGAAAGAARAGAGAACTGGAGGAAGACAGTACTGTTAGTGAAAGAGATGATCATTACTCTCTTTTTGAGTGAAGTTCTGAGGACAGAAAAGAAAAAAAACAGATGAATTTTGTTTAATAAAAAATGAAATCTCTCCTGCAGAATCGGTGGCAAAATTACACACATCTTTTTTGTCAACATTTAAAATTTGAGCTGAATTAAAGACTCAGACAAAAGTAACTGATTGCACTTATTCTGCTTTTAATTCTTCAATATTTAATCGAGACCCTATGGTTTGGAAAAACAAAGAAAGCAAATTACCTTTTTTGTTTTCTACTTTGAGCACTGTACTCTGTCTGCAAAATGTTTCTTTGCAAACAGCTTTGTTTTTGTTTACCATTTAAATAGAATTTCAAAAGAAGACATGTTCTTTATCAATTTTTTTCACACTTACATGCAGTTTGATTTATAAAAACAAACTTGGGAAGCAAACACACAATGAATATTAGGAACACAAACAAAAGTTTAGTTTTTGTTGTTTTTACTCTTGAACAGCTGTTTTATCAACGTTAACTTCCTTATTTTCTTCTTCTACTTCTCTGCATGTGGTGATGCAATGTTCCACACTGGGTGCAAAATGTAAACAGAAGAAGAAGAAGAAGAAGACACCCTCTGTTTAGAAGCTGGATTAAAGGCGGGATTATTACATCATTTTTTAAAAGGTTGCAGTTTGGCTATTGTCAGCAAAATACAATAGTTAGACGGATGAAATAATAAGAAACGTTTCCTTATTCAAAAATAAACATCAATAACTATGTCCGCATGTCACATACAAATAAGATCTGTCAGGTAATATTACAGTAAAATACAAAGTTATGCTGTAGTCATGACAAAATAAAACATTAAACACACAAACCTTAATCTAAGTTTGTGTGGTAAAAAATACCTCTTGATATCAGGGCATTAAATAAATGTACAAATGGCTCACAATGGTATGTATTAAAGCACACATTTTATAACATTCCTGCCTGCCATACAGGCAAGCCGAGTCATCTTCTGCTGCAGCAGTGCACGTTTTTCCTCACAGCTGATTTGAATCAAACAGGCTCATCTTCTCTGAGTTATTCTAAACCAAACGTGGAGTGATTTAAAAATGGTCTTCCTCTGCCTCTTTTCTGTCATGGCTKTTAGTTAAAAATTAGACAAATGAAATCTGCACCAGCTCCTAGTCAGGATCAGTGATCACCTGATGTTTAGTTCAGTGTGTTTTATTTCATTCCATCCTGCTCATCAGTGCAGATGTTGATCATTGCCCCCRTCATAAAGATCACGCTAGTCTCTTTTTCCTTTCTTTCCTCTCAGCTTGACACCTCCTCAACTATCCTCATCCTCCTACTCCTCTTACTTCATCTCTCCATCTCCTCTCACTCTATCAGCAGAGACACCCTGACAGATCAGCCCATACCCACACCTCAGCAGATGTTTGCAAAAACAGCAACAGGTGTGGGTCTGAGACACACACACACACGCGCGCGCGTGCACACGCACACACACACACACACACACACACACACACACACACACACACACACACACACACACACAAACCTTTACGTGTGGGAGTGATCAGGGCTGGTCA